GCCGCGCCCGCGCACCGGCACCGGCCGGAGGCCGACGGCTGGCCCGAGGGCCACGTGCGGCAGCCTCTTCCCGCCGGCCACGTGGATGCCTGGGCCCTTGGAGGCGAGGGGTCCTAACTGGGGAAGGATGATTAGGAGCCTGCAGCGGGCGAATAGGGAGGACCAGGAGGTCCGGGGCTCCACCGCAACAAGAGACCGATGGTGGATGTCCACGGAGTGGGTCTGCTCTGAACTGTCCAACAGGAGACTGAGTGCCTTGTCAGGAAGGAACGAGAGAGGCCCCTCTGGTCTCCACCCCTTGCCCTGTCGCGTGACCTCTCTCCCCCTCAAGAGTATGAGGCTGTCTTGTGATGTCATCTGCCTTGAGGCCCTTTCTAGAGCCAGATCCCCTGCTCTTGAACCTCAGGAACTGAGAAGTAAATGAATACTCTCTTCTTTGTAAAGGACCCAGCCCGAGGAAATGTGCTGTAACAAAACAAAATGGACCAGGACACTGGCCTCTATTCTGTAGATGCATACATCTGTCCATTTCTGGTCAGACTTCAAGTTCGTTACAGAATTTGTTTGGGGCAGTTCTTTTAGAAGTGGCTCCTAACAAAAGTATTTCATCTGGGCGTGGTGAGGCTCGCCTGTAATCCCAGCACTGGAGAGGCTGAGGCAAGAGGCTTGCCATGAGTTCGAGGTCAGCCTGGGTTATATAAGCGAGTTGAAGGCCACACTACATTAGGTAGGGAGACCTTTTCTTAAAAAAAAACTGAAGCAACAAAAACAATCAGGTGCTTCTTGCCTTGGACCAAGAACTGGAGGAGACCAGCCGAGAACAGTGCCTAAAGTTTATTTGAAAAGTGCAGGGTTAATGGGTATGGGAGAAATCAGCTCTGCAGAACAAACTTGCACCAAACAAAGAAAAAAAAGGTTAAAAGCAAAAGTGAAAGTACCAGCGGAATGTGAGAAACTGGGCGCGGGCTCGGTGGGTGCCAGGATGGCAGCTTTCCGTGCTGGCCTGTCTTTTTTCACGTCATCCACAGCTCCTGAGAGCTCCGGCGAATTCTATACCTGGGGTCCGGCACTGCCCTGGGATCTTGGGATTGACAGGTCCCACTCCTTTTCCCAGCCAGCTTTGCCACCCCTGTCTGCTGTCTCAAAGTCACACACCTTGTCCTTTACTTCTTTTATTTCCCTGCTTGACCCTCCTTCTCCCCGCTTGTTCTTGGCAAGGAATCCTCTTGGAGATTCTTTTTTGCGTGTCCGATTCTAGTAATTCCGCATGTCAGTGAATCAGGTTCCTCGTGGGACAAAACCAAAGTGAAAGAAAACACGATTCTAGAGCAGACAACTATGATTCTATTTATATAAATCCCTTAGAATAGACAGGTATGATTCTATTTATGTGAAAGAATAAAGTGGTCTCAACAGTGGGTCAAATTTCAGTTCATTCATTTAGAATTCCACCAAAAATATGGTCTTTTTCTCTCCACATTTATGTTACTCAGCCTTTTATTTGAGTGGTATGGCCTCATAGATATTTATTTTATATGTACGTATCAGTGATCTCTTAATGGGCACTCCTCTGCAGCAGGTAGTCTCTGGGCAGGCAGGTGTTTACCCAATGCCATAAAGGGAAGAAAGCCGTGGCAGCGGGGAGTGTTATGGTTTGTGCCTAGAAGGCCCCCAAAGCCTCATGTGGTCATTGGGTTTTTTCCGAGGTGGCAGAATGTAGAAAGTGTGATTGATTCCTAGTGCAATGCTGGGATTAAAGGTGCTGGGATCAGCCCACTGATTGGTTTGGCACTGCCCTCAGCAAGAGGAACAGGAAGGGGCTCCTCACCCTTTTGTTGCTTTTGCTGTTTTCCTCCCCCATGAACTGTTGACCCCTGCAGTGACCCACCTTGCCTTGGAGCCAGGCAATAAT